TTTGATTGATTAATTGATTGATTGATTGATTCATTCATTCATGGGGAAGGGGTCGCCCTTCCCCTCCCCCCCTCACACACACACACATCACACACACACACACACACACACACACACACACACACACACACACACACACAGTTTTTTTTTTTTTTTTTCTTTTTTTGCGCATGTGCACGTGCACCACTCTCTCGCATATGGCGCACAGTGCCCCGCGCCGCACTGCGCACCATACCAGTGTGCCGCAACTATAAGTAAGATTTTATTCCGACTTGCCGGTGGAATAGGAACCGGACTGACGCTCCACAGAATGGATAAGGAGCCAGGACCATAAGGACCTGTTTTATTAATTAAAAAAAAAAAACAAAAAAAAACACCATTCCGATACACGGACCTAGTCTTCAAGATGGTGTGTGTGTGTCTGGCCATCCGGAACTCTGTATCATAACCATGGTTAAGCCGCCAGTCCCTTTCCCAGCTATTGTGTTCCAGCGGGCCAGTTCACCCTAGGCCGTAGAATTTGTGGGTGAGGCCTACTGGAAAGAAAAGGCCAGTGCCACCAGGCAAATTGCATGTTGTGCCAGTTCAGCAAGCATTGGCATGCAGCAAAAAATCTGCATCCGGACAATACGGCTCGGAGGGACGGGTGGTTCGGTCACCTTAGGCGTTGGCTTTCTCACCTTTGGAGTGCCTATTTTGGATGCCGCTCTCAGCTTCAGCCGGCCAAGTGCCTTGTTCACATCATCTTGAAGCACCTGCAGTTCCTGTCCCTTGTGATACCTACGAGTCTCGTCCTCGTTCCCGCCTTCGGCAGGGATCTCCATAACTGCTTCTTCTTGTACATTTTGATCAGTCCTTCTCCCCGGATGTTTGCGTTTTGCATGGTTTGTCTGCTCTTCGACCCTCCCCCGACTCCTGACACCTGGCCCATTGCTCGCATCCACAGTTTCATCACTCCATCTCTGGCTGTCCTCAACTTGCACCAGAACTCTCTCGGCCGCAAACATCGCCGCATCTGCCACTATCGCGCGAAGATCTCTGACAACCAGACCCACTAGAGCAACATACCACCGATCATCAACTCTGAATTAGCTGCTGCAACACGGAAGAAGGGGTGATGCAAAACATCGTCATCGCCATCATGTGCAAAAGGTATGGAGTCTATGGACTCTGGAGGGGATTGTCCAATTATTGGCAATTAATAATGCCAATTATTGTTTTCTTTTTTCTTTCTTTTTTTAATTAGATTATAATATCATTATATATATTGGCATACCAGCTCACCTAGCTCAGTTGGTACACCCCCCCTGACCTGAATTGTTGAAATACAAACAAGGTGCTGAGTTCGAACTCCACTGAGAGCAGATGACTACGAGACACTACAATTCTGAACTACCTAGGGCCGGTCAGCTCGATAATGATATCTCAAGGCAGTTGCCCTTTTTTTCTTTTCTTTTCTTTTTTCTTTTTTTCTTTTTTTATTTTTAAGGTTATAAAATATAATTATATATAATCGCTGGAAGTGTATGATGACTGTTGACCATTCGAAAGAAGAATCCAAACCCCAAGAGCCTTCCAATATGCAAAATGAGTTATCGGATTTTTTTCGTCCCTTACGTCCATCATACCCCTCCCTGCCCCTACCCCCACCAAGATAGCCCGAGTAATTGCGAAAACTTATGAGTAACAGAAAGCCTATGACAATCTTCGAAAAAACCATCGTTGTTAAGCCGCTAAAGAAAACGAAAAAAAATAAATAAAAAACATTACAAGCTTGCTTGGCCTCCTGTCCCGCCTTTTGCAAGGCAACCCTTCCAGGGTTGGATCTGCCCGCGTGATACAATCTAAGCAGGGGCTGCTACCGTCTTCACGCGAATATAACGCCCGGTCATTATAGCTGTATTTGGCACAACTTTCAGCCCAGATACGGCGGTAATTACCGGGCGTTCTATTCGGGTGAAGACGGTAGGCAGCTGCTGTGGGACCCAAGGACAACTCCCACTAAGGCCCTCACTCCACCGCTCACCATATGCACAAGACAAAAAATATGGCGGTGTATCTTCCCATTTTCTGACAGAAAATTCACTTCTCATTTTGCACATTTGGCGAGTGGTGAAGCAAGGCCCTTGGCTATGTCGATGCCCTGATTTTGAAATCCAACATGTGGTCTACAATATCATGTCAATATGCAGTCTCTTGTTTCACACTCTGACTGACAATAATCGATGATTAGTAGGCTGATTACATCAGATTAATGTAATTTTAACTAATTTACTAATTTACTTATACAATGAAAAAAGACTACGAGTCTGTGAGAAGATTCTGGGAGGCATTTTTCAATTGTCCTGTGTTTCTTTGCCTTTGACGCCTCACTCCTTCTCGCGACATAACAAGGAGCCTCGATCCAGTACTCTCGACATGCACAAAAGACAAAAAAAAAGGCTGTGTATCTTCCCATGTTCTAGCGGAAGATCCATTCTCACTTTGCTGATCTGGTGAGTAAAATGGCTGCCTATCTTCCCATGTTCTAGTGGAAGATCCATTCTCACTTTGCTGATTTGGTGAGCAGTGGAGCGAGACCCAAGGTATGGCGTCAATCAAATGGAAAGACAAAACAATATATAACACAAATCAAACGAAAAGACAAAACAAGGTACAACACGAATCAAACGAAAAGAAACGCAACCCAAATTGCCCATAATCATGCGACCTTTTCATGAACAGATAAGCAGCCGTTTATGGAGATCTGTGCATGTGCTCATCCGGCCTTTTTTTTCTTTCCAGCTCAATGGCGGTCGGCTTAGGACCTGTGGATGAGATTGGAGGCGTTAGCTGTGATATGACTGTACAATAAAAGTTTGGACGATTTCTCAATTTATGTGTCTGCCCGGGCGCATGCTAAATCTTCTCCATATCGTAACTATCTTTCCAAATTCAGCAGATGTCCCAAAGGACTGCTCATCCAGCCTTAAAAAATTGTCCGTCCCGAAATCCTCACTCCTCTTGCAGCCACACATTGCAACACCCCTCCTCTTCCACTCCTTTTCATTGAGGCGCAAGCACCTCCGGTTCGCTCGATAGATTGTTTCTTCGATTACCTCTGCCAATCACTCGACCTTCTTCCCTGCGCCTCCCCCTCCACCACCCCTCTTCTTTCACCCATACCCCGCATTACATCCCTTCACTGAAACTTGTTTTGATCCGCATGACAGTGATTTGCCATCCTCCCCCTCCTCCTCCTCTTCCTACCGTGACTGGTGGATATCCCTGCACTCTTCACCACCCAACATCACGTCATCGAGGTCTTGAGGGTGAAGAACTCCCAAGATTCTGGCTCAAACAAGTAAGAGAAGAGTCCGAAGGCCCAAAGCGACGCTGACAAACAGCTTTCTCCACTGAGCCGCCGCTTCACAGCTTAACCCCCCCATTCGGCAACCACGCAAAGCGATCCACTCAGCCAACCCTTGCATCGCATTATCTGGTCAGCTAGGTAGACCCTCTGCCACCCACTGTCGATGGGTTTGCGTTAAATTACATCCCTTCATTTGTTACTATGTTTGAATAGGGAGCAGCGCCTAGCATCCTTGTATGCATCAGGAGTTGAACTCATGATCTGTTCACCAACAGCTACAGGTGATGTACTATGTACCATTCAGCCACCAGGCTTCGTAGCTGGCATATTTCTTCATAATTATTTCATCTTCCCTTGCCAGTTATAATGTACTTCTAAAGAAGGTTCGTTGCTCATTCAGCGAACCTTTGGGATATTGTTTTGAGATTCAACCTCCACCTCACAACAAGATCCCTAAACCCTAAACCTCAGAACAAGATCCCGAAGGTTCGCTGAATGATCAACGGACCTTCTCTGAGAAAGATCCCTAATGTTGAGTCTCACAGTTGATCGTTCAGCCGTTTGACAAACTTGTTTCATGTACCAGTAAGTCTAAAAGGGCCTTTACCCGATATAGGCCTCAGGCCTTGTAAAAATAGAGCAGCACGCGCCTTGTAAAAAAAGTAAAGCATTGTGAAAAGGTATCTTGCCAG